ATGACCCAAAGATCATACATTAAAATCTCACACAATCCTCACTGTGGTGATGACCTAGGATTCCGAAAAATATCTGTACGAGGAAACTTAAAAATGACTGTTGATGATATATTGTCATATTGATGTTTGGGAGCGGATCCAAAAAAGGTGTTACTGAAGCTCCATGCACGAGTCCTATGTGGATTTAAAGGTGCTTGGACACAGATTTGAAGTTAATATTTTCTCAAGTTTTTGGTATAATATCATGACTTATATGTTGCAATAGCATTTCGAACGGAAATAAATAAAAAAAAAACTTATTTTATCTGGAAATTATTGAAACTACAAATTTCGGGACGCGTTTGATTGATACATCCTAGCACTTTCATAAAACAAACTTTATCCTTAATGCTTAAGAAAAGTAAAAAATTTTTTTGTATATTAATGAAATATATTCAAACTATAATCCAGAAAATTCAGAGTGGAAATGTAAGAAAGCAAAACCAACTCACCAGTACTGTCAGTCCGTTCTCAGTGATGTGTGCAGAGTTTAAAATTGAACACACCCGGTGAAACGTTAAACATTAACAATAACAGAGCTCTTGCCCTGATTACAAAAACAGTTTACGTTTCACGGGTTTTGCTTTCTCACATTTCTACTCTTTATTTTCTGGATTATAGTTTAATATTTTTCATAAAATATATTTGTTATATAATACAGGATTTTTGCATCCCTAACATGAGCACAGGCACGCGCCCTGTATTACACACCCTGTATCAGCACCCTATATTTCACCCTTTATCAGACCCTTTATTACACCTTTCCGGAACACCTCTGTATTTTTCATTCGGAGTACCTCGGATCTTTTCCTATTTCTTTCCAAAGTTTATTCAAATTGTAATTTTATTTCATCAGACATATTATGTTATTCAAAATAATCATTTGTTTGATTTATAATAATTTCATTTCGTATCGCTGAATGCATTTATATGCCTTTAAAAAAGATTGAGAAACGGAAATTCAACAAAAACAGAACACATTCAATTATTAAAAATTCAGTAATTAATTTACAAGTTTATATATGATTTTTAGGACACTATTTTCAAATATATAATAAAAACAACAATACAAGACAAAATCTGTATCACACCCCATATCAACCCTTGACCAATATCAGCCCTCTGGCCTTCGGCCCTCGGGCTGATATTGGAGTCTCGGGTTGATATGGGGTGTGATACAGATTTTGTCATGTATTATTCTCTATTTAATGCACAACAAAATTTCTACTTTTCTTAAGTATTGAGGATAAAGTTTACTTTGTGAAAGTGCATAGATGTGTCAATCAAACGCGTCCCGAAATTTGTAGTTTCAATAATTTCCAGACAAAATAAGTTGTTGTTTTTTTTTACTTTATTTCCATGTGAAATGCTATAAAAACATATAAGTCATATTATACCGAAAATTTCAATCACCTTTAATAGCAACCAAAATTATAGGGTGCCCCCATATCGAGAATGAAGATCATGTGTTCAACATAAGACCGGGAATTCTATAGGGCTGACAAAAGTTGTCGTCTTAAGTTTGTGATGTAACTGATGTTATGTACTTTTTTAATTACTTAGTATCATCCCTAAATTTGTTATTACAGTATCCGCAAAATATATTCACATATAAATTGTTCTTGAAATCAAACAAAGGTATACGTACTATAATACTGTGTCATTCATGACCATTGACACTAGAAATACATACATTCAGTTGTTGCATTACCTTTTTATTGTCCTTTACATGTAGTTTTCATATAGTACAACGTGCGAAGGGGGGTGGGTGGGGGGGGGGGGTTCCACATCCATACAATGTCAATTCTCCGGGACTACTTTTCCCTTACGAATAATTATATGGAGTTGTAGCGTAACGTAATACTAAGCTGTCTGGAGCTTATACATGTGTTAAAAAATTGTTACGAGTTTCCGGATAATAAATAGTGAAATAAAAAAATGTTGGAAGTAAATTTTGTTTGAGTATGCCTCAGCTGCAATTAACACAATTTTTTTTTTCAAAGCTTCTCACTTATTGTGATGTCCATTATTTACCGCGACAGTCCATGTGCTGATCCAGGAATCTTTTCAAGGGGTGAGGTCCACAGCAACCAAAACAAATGCCGGACTAAGAAATTTGTTGACAAGCATAAAAGAGATTATATATATATTACCAGGGGTCCTTGTTTCCTAGGGGTGTCGGGTGTCTCCAAGGTTTTCAATCTCTTTCGTTTTACAGAAATTTGAAAACTCTTCATATCCCGAGAATCTGCGGAATCATCACACGACATTATATCAAATAAATGTAAAAACAGGCCATTGCAATTTTTGAGGTTCGTATTCATTGTTTAAAAAAAAAAAAACTTTTGGATCTAAGGTATTTACATGTAGGAAAGTTTTCTTTGGCCGAAGTATAGTACTACAGTATAGATATAGTATATAAATGTCTCCCTTTTCCTCGATACAGCTAATTCATCGGTATAATATGACATATCAAAACAAAATGAACACATATCGGCGTTTTTTTTTTCATTATTTGTATTACTTACCACTGGCGGATTTAAGGGGAGGGGGGGGGGGGGCTGGGGCGCACGCCCCCCTTCTAAAATTTTCAAAGTATGACATGACTAATATTAATAATACCATACTTGGTTTTATAATTAATGGTCAATTTAAAAAATGGTAATTTTATTTAATGACCAAGTATCGGTTTTCTTAAAAATCAAGTTTGAAAACCTTGCATTCCCTAGGCTATAAATATTATCTCATAATTATTGAAACTGGAAAACGTCCCCCCCCCCCAATCACAAATCCTGTATTCCCCCATGCTTACAATTATAAGATATATGAATTATCCTAGACCTAGCTATAAGTCTGCGATTTCTTTGCTTCAATATTCTACAGCCTTTTCCACTTGTAGCTACTTTATGACGTAACAATAAAGTAATACGTCACTTTTGATACCAAAGTTCAAGATTTGCATCCTAAATTGCGTCTCTTAACTGACAGTGAAATGAATAGGTGGATCACAGATCTTCAATTTTTTCGTTGCTTTTTTTAAGCACTAAAACATAGTAGTATCATTTCCTCCTGTGATATGTTGCCACTATCTTTAAGGAGTATCTCTCTACACTATCAGATTTTATTCTTGCATCAAAATAAATATTCTTGAACTGACGTATTTTTCATCTTTATGAAAACAACATTCACCAAGGAAAAAACAAACTCGACAATAAATACGAGTGAACAAAAGATGAAAAGTGAACAATTAGAAGAACAGAAATACCTGTAATATTAGCTGCAATAGAAAGATAAATTTATTGTGCATTAAAACTAAATTATGCGTGATAGAGTTTCAAAAACTTTTCATTACAAGTCTCTATGTGTATGCCTTTATTAACATTGGATAAATTATTGCCTAACACCGTCTTAAGTATGTTACGAATGAAATTGCAATTCCCGTTACACTTGGATCCACCTACATACTCTCACTCAGTGCAGGGAGTGAATATGACGTCACAGCGGAAGTGACGCCGAGTTGTGTCTGCAGTGGCTGTGTTTAGGACGAAGGCAGCTACATTACTTCGTATTTTGCCGTATTTTCAACGCATGTAATCGTATTGTTAACATTTTTTATTTACTACAGCATTTCCTCGGCGATATTGACGCGACAGGTGGGATTTTTCGAATGTAATCTGCAAGGTTAGTGAAAAATTCGAGAACGTTGAAATGACATGCCCAGTGAAATGACTTGCGATAGAAATTACGAAAATTACGCATGTTGGTGAGGATTCTTGAATATCTTGAGTGCAAAGACTGCATAATATTCAGAACACGGATGTTGAAATGATTTTGGGACGTTTTTTATTGTTGTAGTGTTGAAGGCTCGAGGGGGTTAGTCATGCCTGGCACAACTAACCCCTATGGTGCGCGTGCGCTAACTAACCCTGCTGAGACTGAACAAACACTGACTAAGCCTTGGTTTTAGGCCAAGTCCACAAAATAAAGTCCAAATAAAAAAGAACACCAGCACAAACAACATTATATAAGAAAAATAAAATTGATAAACACAAAATCATTATAAATTAAAGAGAAAGAATGAATTCAAACATATTATTAGTGGTATTACTATATAATAACCCAACATTTATTAGAATATTTCTTGTTAGTTGGCAAAGTTAGTTAAGACTAACCCAACATTTATTAGAAAAATTATTGTTAGTTAACTAAGTTAGTTAAGACTAACACAAAAAGAAATGGAAATTCTTGTTAGTTGTCTAAGTTAGTCTGACTAAGGGCTTTTTTCTTGAAAACCCCAAATTCCAATAATCAAAATAATTCCAAATTCAAATAATACACTGTTATATATATATATATATATATATATATATATATATATATATATATATATATATATATATATATATCATGTGTGTGGTGGATATTACCCATAAGATAAACCTGTGCTTTATCCACGGGTACATGTATATACTTTATCAATAACACTTCCGGTTTTGACACAATCCCTCGCGTCAAGAAGTAAATTTATCAAACTTTCTGTGAAAGTTCTTGCGTTATAAAATGGATGCTAATGAGTAAAAATGTTTGTTATAAACAAGAGTTTTGATGGTTTTTTAGGCTATAGCATTGTTAATCATTTATAAAAATTCATACTGTAAATTGACAAACCTGCAAATGGGCATTTGTAAAACTCTTGCACAGCCAGTAGAGAAATATATGATGTATCATTTGTTGAATTAATAACTACACTATAGGAGATGCACATCAAACATTAAGAATGGAAAAATCATTGAAATTTTTGTATCAAGATTGAAATAATTATCTTTCTTACTCTCTGAACTGTTTATGATAACTGAACAATATTTGATGGGCGTATCATATGTGTGGCGGTGCACTTAATTGATTTCACTCATTACTTCAATGTTTCATTTATATACCAATATTGTGTTTTTTAAATACAGATTTTCAATATGAATGAGCCAGAGATTTTGACAGAGGTACCAAGCACATTAAAGAGACTGATTAGATTAGTGGTCAGAGGGTTCTACAGTATAGAGCACGCCATGATTATCGACCTTCTAGTCCGCAATCCCTGCATGAAAGAGGACGACATTGTGGAAATTCTCAGATTCGAGAGGAAACAACTCCGAGCTCTTATAAATACCTTAAAAACAGAAAAGTTTCTCAAGACAAGAATGAAAATGGAAACTGATGCTGAGAACAAATCGACTCGCCAGACATACTACTTCATTAATTACCAAGTGTTTGTCAACATTGTCAAGTATAAACTAGATCACATTCGCAGGAAGATTGAAATGGAAGAAATGCACAACACTAGTAGGGCTTCTTTCAAATGTCCCACTTGTGAAAAGACATTCACTGACCTTGAAGTCAACGAGTTGTTTGATGTTATGAGTGGGACGTTCCGATGTACGTTTTGTGAGAATGAGGTTGAGGAGGAAGCCGGGGCCACATCGGTCCAAGACACGCGAACTTTACTTGCCAAATTCAACGAACAGATTCAGCCAGTGTTTGACTTGTTACAAAAGTGTGATGACATCAAATTAGCCCCAGAGCTTCTGGAACCAGAACCCACAGATCTCAATAGAGTTCACAACAGGTTTATATCATTAACACTCATCAAATGTAGAGTTTGTAAACAGACTGGATTTTTTTATATGCATGTATAATTTTGCTTTGTTAAAGAAAATTTAGACATTGGTGCAATCTTACTAAAATTTGATGTTAGATCCACTCACATACTTACTACATTAAGTTAGTGTAGTGAGTATACGAGTGGATCTAACATCTAATTTTAATTAGATTTACATTGTTGAAGCAAGAAATTATGGAACAAAACAAAACAAAAAATTTTAAAAAATCAGATCATAAGACATTAATTTTGTTACTTTTTTATTTTTACACTCCTTCACAATAATCCCTGATGATTAAACTGTTACAAATTGACTATCTACATTTTAGGTCACATTCTTCAAAGACGTCCAATGCAGACAGGGGTGTTTGGAGTGGTGATAAGAATAGGACCACCAACTATAACCTGGGATCTGATGCCACCGTCACCATCAGCATGGGAGGGGAGGGGGAGACAAAGAAAAGTGAGGCAGTTAAGGAGGTGCCGATCTGGATGTCACAGAGTACTGTAGAGGGGGGACAAGAAGACAGCAGGGTCAGTATCCATACATCACCATGGTTACATTGTAAACAATGAATACATGCTTAACTTAGTAAACAGCTGTGTGAATGAGTTCTTAGCAATAGAATTTATTAGAAGAATTATTGCCTTTCATGACAACTGCTCAGCACAAAGGTAGCAGATGAGGGATTATTGTTTCTTTCAAGGTACAACTAATCAGCTTTTACCTGAAAACAAGACATAGTGGTTATAGTAAGCAAAAGAAATCTAAAAATTGATAATATCATAATCATTATTCAAATTAAGGTTAAAGAGATGATGATTTTGTGCATGGGCTGTCTTTGGAATAATGATAAGATATACACTATTCTGTAACTGACCATAACAGAGAAATGTAATTGGCTATGTCTGGACAGTACACTTGAAGAAAGTGTGGTATCACTTACAATTGGAAAATCTTTCATAGGAAAGGAAATGAATGCAAAAGTCTTTTTTCTGGATATTACTTTGACAGACTCCTATAATTCTCCATTTAATTCTGGGGATGGTTTTTTTGTAAATTTGTAAAGTATTAACTGGAAGGTCAGTGTTAAGTGGTTAGTTGACAGGTGTAAAAAATTACAAAAATGAGATCCATGCAAAAAAAAAAAAAAAGAGAGAAAAAAAAAAGGAAAATGAAGGATTTTCCAATTCATACCATATACTAGTGTCCTTGAAATATCAAAAGCATGATACCATAGGTGTCACTAAAAATATCTCATTTTAACAGAGCTCTTTTGTCAATGAGGAATCCAAACCAGCACATCTAGAGGCAGCCAATCGGTCAGCAGTCAACAGCGAGATTGAAACTCTCCTATATATTCATGAGAAGAAGGGTGGGGCTCCTGGGGGCTCTCTACCTGGTCAGAGAAATGACAGCTCCAGTAGTGACTCAGAGGAAGAGACACCTAAAATCTCAGCACCGTCTCATAATACAGGTAAGATGTCAGCTTCATCTCATAACACTGATAGGATGACAGCTCCATATCTCATAAGGCAGGTTAGATCTGAGCTCCATCTCATAATGCAGGTAAGATCCTAGCTCCATATATCATAAGACAGGTAAAATCTTAGCGCCATCTCATATCAAAGGTAAATTCTCAGCTTCATCTCATAATACAAGTAAGATCTCAGCTCCATCTCATAACAGAGGTAAAATCTGAGCTCCATGCATTTCATTACACAGATAAAATCTCAGTTCCATTTCATACCAAAGGTAAGATGTTAGTTCCATCTCATAATGCAGATAAGACCTCAGCTCCATCTATTCTCCCTTTTTGTAAATGAGACTGAGATCAAAAATAAGCTCATCTAAGTTTTATGGCCCTTTTAAGCTTTGTCTGTCACACTTTCTCTCTCTCCATTTCACATACATTGTGTACATGAACGTTTTATTTATATTAAAGAAGTGTTTGACATTGTTAACCATAAGATTTCAATGTTGTTTGTAGTTGAGGAGATGGAGAGTGAGGAGGAGGATACCATGGTAACCATTGCCGGGAAGAAAGTGCCCCTCCATGAAGTTACAGATGAGATGGTGGCCAAAATGACTCTAGAGGAAAAAGAAGATTACATACGACTGGGTCAAGAACTCTATCAAAACATGTATGAGTGACCTGTACATTCACATTATTTACATGTATAATGTTCAATAAGGAAACCTTTGTTTCCTTGTACTGAATTGAAGCACAAGATCAGAAATGTGCTCTTCACTTTGTGCCGATGATGCTGATGGCGATTTATGATCACTTGATCCTACAGCAATTCACAGAAAAAAACGACTCTTTCAAAGGTGTTTGTTGTACCTTTAATTATTTAATTGTATCTGTCAGTGAAATTTATTGGCTCTTATAGAAATTAAATATAATTGTACATAACTGTATTTGTAATTGACGTATTTCATTCAAATCATTTTGGTAGAACATCTTGTATGTGTACAGTTAAAATCTAATTAAATGAAATTTAATTCTTAGTTTCTTAATTTATCCTTCATCAATATGGAAGTATGACTATATGTGATGGGTAAAATAAATTTCTTGTCTGATGTACAGGGAAGAGCGATAGTTCAAGTCTGGTATTAAACACAGACTATTAAAGAATTTCAATTAACACTTGTCAGAAGTCAGTTGGGAAAATTTGGGGAGGGGGTTCCCTTTTTTTCTTCCCTTTGGCTATCCTATCTCCTGTGGTCCTTTTTAAAAAAGAACTTTTGACTAAGAATAAAAAATTTAGTTGATTGTAACATCTTGCAAAATTAATGATTCTGTCATAAATTACTTGCATAAAAATATCCTTCTAAATTCTTTTTTTTTTAAAAGATTACCCATTTTTTAATTACAGAAAAAAAATTATTCCGATAATTATATTCTGATTTTAATAAAAAGGCAGGATTATCTCCGAATCATATATCAAGAACAAGCAATTTAAAACAAACAAAATGTAAGGGATCTTCTTGTGTAACATAGAGGGAAGATCAACTAAGCTATAAGAGAAAGTGTTAAATCAGAAAAACATACACACTATTATACAAGGATATATTTCGTACTTCTACATTTTATCAGAATATATACAATAAGGAAATTAAAAAATGAATTATGTATGTAGTCTTTCCTTTATACCAAAAAGCAAACTATGTGTTTGGTGTTTTAATATAAAGTGTTCCAGATTCATTCCCTCGTATTTCCTGCCATTTTGATCGTTTGTTTAAGGCAGTCAAAAGGCGCAGATCCTGGAATTTTATTCCAGGGAGAGTCCGCATCAACTCCAACAGATGTCAGACTCGGAAATGTTTTGCTCAGTGGAGGGAGGATGATATTGTGTGTGATGACATCAAATTAGCCCCAGAGCTTCTGGAACCAGAACCCACAGATCTCAACAGAGTTCACAACAGGTTTATATCATTTATTTAATACTCATCAAATGTAGAGTTTGTAAACAGAGTGGATTTTTCATGTATATCAGTATATACAGGTAAAATAGAAAACAAAGGATTTTACAATTTTTACCATATATCATTGAAATATCAAAAGCAAGATAGTCTAGGTGTCACTAAAAATATCTCATTTTAACAGAGCTCTTTTGTCAATGAGGAATCCAAACCAGCACATCTAGAGGCAGCCAATCGGTCAACAGTCAACAGCGAGATTGAAACTCTCCTATATATTCATGAGAAGAAGGGTGGGGCTCCTGGGGGCTCCCTACTTGGTCAGAGAAATGACAGCTCCAGTAGTGACTCAGAGGAAGAGACACCTAAGATCTCGGCTCCATCTCATATAATACAGGTAAGATGTCAGCTCCATCTCATAACACAGGTAAGATGTCAGCTCCATCTCATAATACAGGTAAGATCTCAGCTCCATCTCATAACACAGGTAAGATCTCAGCTCCATCTCATAACACAGGTAAGATCTCAGCTCCATCTCATAACACAGGTAAGATCTCAGCTCCATCTCATAACACAGGTAAGATCTCAGCTCCATCTCATAATACAGGTAAGATCTCAGCTCCATCTCATAACACAGGTAAGATCTCAGCTCCATCTCATAACACAGGTAAGATGTCAGCTCCATCTCATAACACAGGTAAGATCTCAGCTCCATCTCATAACACAGGTAAGATCTCAGCTCCATCTCATAACACAGGTAAGATCTCAGCTCCGTCTCATAATACAGGTAAGATCTCAGCTCCATCTCATTACACAGGTAAAATCTCAGCTCCATCTCATAATACAGGTAAAATGTCATCTTGATACAGGTAAAATATCAGCTCCATCTCATAACACAGGTAAGCTCCATCTCATAATGCAGGTTTCAATGCTGTTTGTAGTTGAAGAGATAGAGAGTGAGGAGGAGGATACCGTGGTAACCGTTGCCAGGAAGAAAGTGCTCCTCCATGAAGTTACAGATGAGATGGTGGCCAAAATGACTCCAGAGGAAAAAGGAGATTACATACGACTGGGTCAAGAACTCTATCAAAACATGTATGAATGACCATATACATGTAATTTCCGTGAATAATGTCCAATAAGGAAACCTCTGTTTCTTTGTACTGAATTAAAGCACAAATCAGAACTGTGCTCTTCACTTTGTGCAGATGATGCTGATGGTGATTTATGATCACTTGATCACAACCTACAGCAATTCACAGAAAAAATGATTCTTTCAATGGTGTTTGTTGTACCTTTGTTTATGTAATTGTACCTATCTGTGAAATTCATTGGCTCTTATAGAAATTAAAATATTGTACATAACTGTATTTGTAATTGATGATTTCATTCAAATCATTTTGGTGGAACATCTTGTATGTGTACAGTTAAAATTTGATTAATTAAAGTAAATTTGATTCTTAGTTTCTTTATCTTTCCTCTATATATATGCATGTGTCACTCACTGGATCTAAGGGGTAAAATGAATGTTCTTGTCTCTAGAAACTTGTGTTTGATGTATAGGGAAGAGTGTTAGTTCAAGTCTGATATTAAACACAGACTATTCAAGAGTTTCAATTTATACTTGTCAAAAGTCAGTTGGGAATATTGGGAGAGGGGGGTGCCCTTTTTGTCCTCACTCCTGTGTCCCTTTATGACTAAGACCAAAAAATTTAGTCGATTGTAACATCTTGCAAAATTAATGGTTCTGTCATAAATCACTTGCATAAAAATATCTTTCTATATTCTTTTTTTTAAAAAAAAAAAACAAACCCATTTTTCAATTAAATTTAAAAAAAATTTATTCCCATAATTACATTTTGGTCTTAAGAAGGCAGGATTATCTCTGAAGTCTATATATCAAGAACAAGCAATTTAAAACAAAATTTAAGGGGTCTTCCTGTGTAACACAGAGGGAAGGTCACCTAAGATATAACAGAAAGTGTTAAATGATTAATAGCGATTCTCTGTAACCACTTAAACTTCTTTGTCACGCATGGTCACCAATTTTGATGAAACTTTGCCCATTATTACAACTTGACACCAGAAACATATATCAAATAAAATTTCGTTGCTATGTGTCTTGGTTGCCATGGTAACAGCCAGAAAAGTTGAAAAAATTGAGATTTTCAGCTACTTTAAATCTTTATTAAGTCTTAATAAAGACTAAGAAAAACAAACAAACCATTCTCCCAAAAACATGACACCTTGTTGCCACTTATGCTATAAAGAAACTATTTAGAATTAATCTCTAAGTAAGTGGTAACCATGGGTACATTTGGAATACATTTTAGATGCTGAAAAATGCTGAAAAACGCTCTATAGTCACAAATGATAGATGTTACATGATCAAACTCAATCAACAACATAAGAAAAACAATGAAAAATATTTGACCTCATGTAATTAGGTATTGGCAATATTATTCTAAAAATAACTTTCATGGTTGCCATGGTAACAGAGTGTCACCATGCAAAATCTGTTGCTATGATTAGGTTGATGCTACTATCTTGAGGGAATAAATGAAAATCCATGACTGGCACATATACATTCTTAGGACCTTGCAACACCAACAACATAAGAAAAATTGAGATTAATTGTTACTTTGCAGTGTAACCATGGAAACAACGTACTAGTTGTTTAAATTGATATTTTTTTGCTGCTTTGGGTATTTACTAACCTTTTAATCAAGAAAAATATTATTTGAATCACCTTGAATAGTACTTATCTCGTAGAACTAAAGTTGAATATCATATATTGATAAAGGTTATTGAAAAATACAACACTGTTGCTATGGTTACCAAGAAGAGAAAATGTTCGATTTTGTTAATTTTTTGTCAATATTAGACCCTATGTGCCAGCTTTTTGCATCCAGTTAGAGATTGGGTGATAGTCAAAACTGAAAGTCAGGTTAGTTGTTCACATATATCAATCATTAAAGTTTTGGGAATCTACATACAACTGTACGTATCCAAGGAAACAGAGTATTTTTCAGATTTTTATGCATGTTTTTTCGCCTTATTTCCATAGCAACGCACTATTTAAAGAATTGAAATTGAATTTTTTGAAATTTGAAAATTAGGGTCACACCAAGGCCTTTAAAAATTGATCATCAGTTATATAGAAATATGCTTTTTAAAAAGATAGGATAAGATTAAAACACTAAGAGAGTAAATTTAAAATCCCTTCGTGGTATTAAAACCATGGCAACCATTGCCAACCTATAAGAAATATCATATTTTGTCCTTGGTATATGTTACAAGGATCTCTTCTCTATTAATTGTTTGCATTTCAACCTATAGTTGTTTTTATTCTTAAGTGTATGACTTTATAAAATTAAATGAACAAAATTATTACTTTTGAATACTTTGTTTCCATAGTAACGTATGTTATAGATGATTTACCAAACATGTTTATCATGCATTTAAGACACCAGGCCTTAAACTTTAAGAAACAGTCATTGCCACTTGTTTGCTTTGCTGCAAACGTTAACTGTGGGACTCTGAAGATTTTGAAAAATGCCATTTTTCAAACTTTAGGACATGTTGCTATGGTAACCATGACACGTAGCAACCAATTTTTGCCTGATTTGAGTTTACGGTATCAAAGACTTTTATCATAGAGAGTTTGGAGAAATTCTGAGACTATGCGTGCCACAGCTCCTATATAAAAGTTCAAGTCATTACAGAGAATGGCTCTTAACTTCCTGTCCAAAAAAAAAAAAAAAAAAAAAAAAAAAAAAAAAAAAAAACATACACACTATTATACAAGGATATATTTTGATATTTTGTACTTATACATTTTATCAGATTATATACAATAAGGAAATTAAAAACGAATTAAATATGTAGTTTATCCTTTATGCAAATAAGCAAATGTGTGTAATACTTAACATATGTCAGACTCAGACCCCCCCTCCCCCAATCGTAGTTATCCTCCCTCTCCCGTTAGACTCATGGATGCACAAGAGCACATCGTTAATTTAAGTGAAATATCAAAGTCTGAGAATTACTATTTTTTCTTGAGATATATATAGAGTCATCTAGTCAAT